ACTGGCAAGATAGACGTGAACCACAAGCTGCTTGAGTTGTACTTGAAAAGATATTATTTTTAAGAACTATTCCGGCATACTGGGATGGTGAATCGACAGTTTCTCAAGATTAAACAAGCACTTCCTATAAGAGCAAGGAACCAGAACAGCAAAACTAAAATGAACAACACAATAGAAGGTGGAGGGAGGAGAGAATTGCCCCAAAAGCTTAAGAGACTAGCAAGCTTTTAGTCCGAATGCATGCCTATATATAGGCCAAATCTTGGACTCGAACGTTGGGCATTCAACCACCAGAGTAAAGGCTCGGTTTCACTCTCATAAAGCACGTTTAAGCATCTATTTGGAAACATTAAGGGGTTACACAAATGTAAAACATATTTAAGCTCCTGTCTGGAAATGTTAGGGAGACAAATACATTTAGAAAATTAATCTAGTTAATGGCCAAAAAATATTCATAGTTTGATTTCAAACTCTAGACAGCTAAATACTAAAATTTCCTGGTAAGCTAAAAATAATTAATTATTTATTTATTTTGTAAAAATAATCTAGTAAAAGGAACCCAGTGCCTCTTGAACTCGCGCGCAAGGGGCAAATGGGCTGATTTCAACTGCGATTGCTCTGAGTTGGCTGTTTCATGTGCGCGAACCCACTTCTCCTCCAAGTCCATTTTACTAGCCCACTTCATTTCTTAGTATTTATACACTAGGAGAGTTCTTCATTTAGGTAATATGGGACTTTTAACATACACACACTTTTAACAAACACACAACAATCCTCCATATGTGTCAAAAGGATCTATGTTCATTTGAGTTATTTACATGAAGGATAATCACTTCAAATTTAGTGTCTGTCGACTTGAACCAAACCTAGATTAATAAAACTTAGCACACAGAAAAATCAGTGTAACTTTATCATTGAACCAACAAATCTTAAGCGTGAACTAGAGGTCTTATTAATTGAATTATACCCCCACAGTCTCCACTGTTAACGATAGTTTTGCACGTTATCGGCCATACGCACGCTTGGTTTTAACAAATGCTCTAGAGATTTCGCCACGATTTCATAGGAGCGGCCCCACTTCATATTTGTATAGGTATCTTCATCAAGTGCATCTGCAATGAATACACCATCCATAAGGACTATGAAAACATTAAGAGCTTTCGCGCAACCTTCATTCAATATATTCTAGCACTTTTTCAAGCCATAGAAAGGGATAAAAATTCAATACTAGCAGAATTAATAAGTGACTTGTTCTTACCTATTAAACCTTCTTCATGGGATCTCCAATCACAAAGGTTGGGTTACCATCACTGTTAATTTTAAATAGGCTTAAGTCCCATTCCCCTCGATATCTCAGTAAAAAATTTCTTTTCTAGGAGCTTAGTTAACGGATTCGCTAGATTTAACTTTGATCTTACATAATCGATTGAGATAATCCATCTTTGAGCAGCAGCCTTATAATATTATGTCTCAATCGAATATGTCTACTTTTCCTATTAAAGGTCTTATTTTTAGCTATTGCTATAGCAAACTGGCTATCACAATATAAATACACTAATGGTATGAGCTTTTCACCTATTGCAATACTCGCTAAGAAGTTTTTCAACTACTCAGCCTCAGTTCCAGCTAGCTTCATGGCAATAAACTCAAAATTCTTTGAGGATTTTGTATTGATTATTTGTTTTGCAAACTTTCAAGTTATTGCACCACCACCAAGAGTAAATATATAACTATTAGTGAATTTTGTCTCTTCTGAATCTGAGATTCAGTTAGCATCATTGTATCCTTCCAATATAGTGAGAAATCCACTATATAATATATCATAATTCATGGTACCTCTCAAATATCTCAAAACTCTCATCAGAACCTCTTAGTGTTTACTACCTAGACAGTAGGTATATCTACTCATTCTGCCTACAGCATAAGCTACATTAGACCTAGTAAAATTCATCAAATGCAACTGATTTTCAATGATCTGTGCATACTCAAATTGAACAACTAGGTCACCTTTCTGCTTTTTTAATTGCACACTCAAATCATAAAAAGTACTTAGAGGAGCATTTTCAAGATGTCCAAACTTTTTGAGTATTTTCTCAACATAATGTTCTTAGAAAAGCAAAATTCCATTTTCATTCCTTATGATTTTTACACCCAAGATTACCCTAACTTCGCCTATATCTTTCATTAGCACTGGGCAAACAGGTTACGAGCCAACCCGCAAGCTAGCCCGTACAAGCTAGCATTTTTACGGGTTGGGTTAGGCCAACCCGCCAAATAAAATAGGCTGAAAAATCTAACCCAACCCATTTTCTCGTGGGCTAGCTAACCCATGGGCTAGCCCCTAAAAAATTATCAAAATTTTTTAATAATTTAAAATTTATATAATATAAATATATATATATATATTTCATATTTTAAAGTAAATTAGCAATTAGAAAACTTATATATAAATAAAATAAACATAGAATTTAACTAAAAAAATTTATTTTATTAGATTTTTACTATCAATCATCTTCTCGCCTAAGTGTGCTATCTTTGTCACTGAGAAAGAAAATTTAAATATAAACCCATATTATTTTTCTCAATAAATTTATATGTATAATTTCAATCAATAGATCTTATGAGATTAATAAATAATATATATTTAAAATATTTCTATAAAAACTAATAAATCATCTTCACAAACTATAACAGAAATTTTATTTACAAATTGTAAAATAGATTTACATTATATTTCAAATGTAAAGAACATATTTGAGAGTCATAAATTATATATTTAAGAAAATTATTATTATTGTAGATTTATAAAAAGATATAATGTAATTAAAATAAAAAATTATTTTTTTAAAATATGCTAGCCTACAGGCCAGCCTGTTTAGCTCGCGGGATAGCTCGTTTTAGCCTACTAATTTTGTAGGTTAGGCTAATCTAGCCCATTTTAAAAAATGAGCTAATTTTTTTAACCCAACTTGTTAAATTGTGTGGGTTAAACGGGCTAGCGTGCGAGCTTAACCCATTTTTTTGGCTCTATCTTTCATATCAAAATTTTAAAAAAAATTGTTTCATTAACACATACTAGAGCCAAAAATAGCATGTCACCCACATACAATCATATAATCACACAATCATTATTCACAAATTTTGTATAAATTCATCTTTCTACTTCAACAGTAGAAAATTCATCAGTTATCAAAACTTGATCAAGTTTCTCATGCCATTGTTTAGATGCTTATTTTAAGCCATACAAAGACTTGACAAGTTTACAAACTTTATTTTCTTGTCCAGGAATCACACATCCCTCAGGCTATACCATGTAAACTTCTGCTTCCAAATTACCATTTAAAAATGTAGTTTTAACATTCATTTGGTGAATAAAAAGCTTGTAAATTGAAGCCAAAGCAATAAGAACTCTTATAAAAGAAATTCTAGTCACAGGAGAAAATGTATCAAAATAATCTATATTTTTCTTTTGAGTAAAACCCTTAACCACAAGCCTTACTTTATATTCATCAATTGAACCATCTGAAAAATATTTTTTTAACAAAATTCATTTATACCCAGTAGCCTTAGCTCATTAGAAAAAATCTGCTAAAACCCAAGTTTTATTTTTTCTTAAAGAATCAATTTCAATTTCAATTGCTTCTTTCCAAAATTTGGCATCAGAAGAAAAAATAGCTTCATAAAAATTTAATGGTTCATCTTATACTAAAATAAGTGTAAAAATCATCTCCAAAACTTGTTTCTTTTCTTTGCCTTTTACTTCTCTTTAAAACCAAATCCTCATTTGAATTTTGTTCAGATTCTAAATTCTCTATAGGTTTAGAAACATGCTCAATTTTCAAAGGAAAAATATGTTCAAAAAATTCAACATCCTTAGTCTCTACAATTGTGTTTTGGTCTAAAATATCACTTTTTAAAACTAAAAAGTGATAAGCTATACTTTGTTCAGCATACCTAATAAACATACAATCAGAAGTTTTAGAATCAATTTTTCTCTTTTTAGGATCAGGCAATAAAACTTTTACAAGGCACCCCCACACTTTCAAATATTTTAAATTTTGGATAAATCCTCTCCATAACTCAGAAAGTGTTTTCTTTATTTTCTTATGAAGGATCCTATTTTGTAAAAAACATGCAAACAAAATAGCTTCACCCCACAAGTTATCAGGCGCAAAAGAACTCACAAGCAAAGCATTCATCATTTCTTTTAATATTTTATTTTTTCTTTCTGCAACACCATTAGACTCGGGAGAATAAGGAGATATTTTTTCATGTATAATACCTTCTTTTTAACAAAAATTATTTAACAAAACACATTCTCCACCTCTATTAGATCTAACCCTTTTAATCGTTTTATTTAACTGATTCTCAACCTTTGCTTTATATAAAAAAAAATTTTAAAAGCCTCATCTTTGTTTCTTAACAAGCATACCTTAGTATATCTTGAAAAATCATTAATAAAAGTGATATAATATTTTTTACCACCTCTAATCATGGTTTGTTTTAAATTACCTAAATCAGTGTGAATTAAAGTCAGCAATTCAGATTCTCTTCAACTAGAAAAATGAAGTTTTTTTCTTTGTTTAGTTTCTGCACATACTTCACATTTTTTAAAATCATTGTTTTTAATTTCAAAAAGTAGTTCAAGTTGTCACATCCTATTTATATAACTTTTACTAGCATGACCTAGTTTAATATGCCTCAAATCAAAGGAACAATCATATAAACAAGTATATGCTGAGAAGATTCAGTCATATTCATTTCATCAACATTCAAGACAAACAGTCCCTGATTACAATACCCTTTGCCCATAAATACATTATTTTTTGTCATTATAATCTTGTCAGATTCAAATGACACTTTAACTTTAGCTTTCCCTGATAGAGCAACTGAAACTAAGTTTGTTCTAACTTCATGCACATGCAGAACATCGTTCAGAGCCAGAGTCTTTCCTGATGTAAGTTTTAAGACCATTTTCTCTTTTCCTTGAACTTTGGCAGTTTGGGAATCAACAACATAAACACAGTCTTCCCCTTCCTTTACAGGATCATAAGAGGTAAACATCTCTTGGCTAGCACATATGTGCCTGGTAGCCCTAGAGTCTGCCACTCATTTCTTCACATCAGAAATCAAGAGAGCTTGTGACACTACTACAGCAATGATGTCATTATCACTGTCACCATCTCTTTGTACCAAATTTACATTTGGCTTCCGAGGCTTATCACAGTTCACTCTCTTCTTACACTATGCTGCATAATATCCTGATTTATCACAGACAAAACAGTCTCCTTTTTTCTTAAAAGAGAGGTTAGAAACATTGGGTTTGTAATCAGATTTCCTATTCTTTTTGTCTTTTAGGGTCATACCTCTTGTTGTGAGGCTTTATCTCCACTAGATTGTCTTTAGATGTCATCTCTCTGGCTCGAGCTGCACGTACTACCTTCCAGTTGGTGTCTTCAATGATGATGTGAGTGATCAGGCCAGTCAAGGATAGCTGCTTTTGTTTGTGTTTTAGCTACTGTTTGTAATCATTCTTTGACTCTGGCAGCTTCTCAATCATGATTCTAGTAATGAACTCATCTGGAAGGTTGATGTTTTCAACACGAAGCTCCTCCAACAGCTTATGATATTCATTGATTTGCTCCTTCACATCCTTGTTCTTGATCATCTCCCATTTGTAGTAGTTTTTCACAACAAACTTTTATTTGCCAGTATTCTCAGCGGTGTACTTTGTCACCAAAGATTCCTATATCTTACAAGCTTCCTTGTAGACATATTAGACATCAAACAAATCATTAGATAAGGTGCTAATTAGTGTGTCAGCATACCTTGTTTACATGAGTCTATGCAACTCCCTGGGTTTGGTCAGCATCAGTAAGAGGCTCGAATTGAGCAAGAGTTACAGCCATACCATGCATGTCAAGAATGGTAAAGATTCATTCCTGCCAGCGTTTGAAGTTCCTGTTATCAAAGACCTTTATCTTTGATATGTCCAGGAATGGCCTCAGCAGAGGGACGACAACAGCAGTGATCTTTAGTCGAACCACCATGTACATCTTCAGGGATGACATTCTCAGCACTATTGAATGCAATTTGGTTTGAATAGTTCTTAAAATTGTTGTCGGTACGGGCAGTATAGACGTGAACCACGAGCTTCTTGAGTCATGCCCGAAAGGACACTGTCTTTAAGGACTGTTTTGGCACACCGGGATGATGACCTGATAGTTTTCTAGGATTAAACAAGCACTTCCTATAAGAGTAAGGAACCAGAACAACAGAACTAAAATGAACTCAGATGAACGACACAACAGAAGGTGGAAGGAGGAGAGAATTGCCCTGAAAGCTTAAGAGGCTGGCAAGCTGTTCAATCCGAATGCATGCTTATTATAGGCCAGATCTTGGACTCGAATGTTGGGCATTCAACCACCGGAGTAAAGGCTCGATTAATCTTTCATAAAGCATGTTTAAGCATCTGTCTGGAAACATTAGGGAGTTACACAGACATAAAACACATTTAAACTCTTGTATGGAAACGTAGGGGAGACAAATACATTTAGGAAATTAATCTAGTTAATGGCCAAAAAAGGTTTATGGTTTGATTTCAAACTTCAGACAGCCAAAAAAAGTTCATGGTTTGATTTCAAACTTCAAATAGTCAAAAATTGAGATTTTCTAGTAAGCTAAAAATAATTATTTATTTATTTATTTTGTAAAAGTAATTCAGTAAAAGGAACCCAGTGCCTCTTGAACTCGCGTGCAGGGAGGTGAATCGACTAATTTCAACTGCGATTGCCCTAAGTTGGCTTATTTCATGCACGCAAGCCCGCTTCTCCTCTTAGCTCATTTTATTAGCCCACTTCATTCCTTAGTATTTATACACTAGGATAATTCTTTATTTAGGTAATGTGGGACTTTTGATACACACACACACCCATTTAATCATATAATTATTCTAATGAAATTATATAATACTTTTTTTCTTTTTTATCCTCAACCCCAATTATCGATAATAAATTATATTAAAAAGAGATTAAGAACGATGATGGGAACATATGAAACAACCAGGTTAAAATAAAAAAATAATTCCTACAAATATTAAGTTCTTAAAATTTGGGAAGATAAGAGAAAAATTTTCTTGGAATATGCAAATAACAGTGAGGTCCAATCAAATAACTAAAATGCCCCAATTTAAAATATAAAAAAAGTTAAAACTTTAACCCAAAAAAAGTAAATATCATTAACTATTTTAGTTTAATTAATGACCAATTTTTTTATAATGACTAGAATGGAATAAACAATTACAAGTTTACAACTGTCTCTATAAAATTTTTTTATTTATTGAAATTAAAATATTATAAATATTCATAACTACTTCATATTCATCATATTCATTATTACTACTTTCAGGTTTATCTTCTAAATTATTCATCATATACATACAGCTCATTTCTTTTTCAGATTCACTATATTTAGTTTTTGTTTCACTAATTGTCTTTAATTTATATATTTCTATATCAAAATTATTTAATTCATTTTCTATTTCAAATAATTCTTCATCATATCCTATAAGTTTTAAATTTTCTTTATAAGCTTCTTTCATTATTTTTATTATTTTCTTATCTTTTTTATTTGGACAGTTAGGTGATATATGTCTTAATTCTCTACAATTATAATATTTACATTTTTAGGTTTTTTATTATAATTTATTTTTCTTTTTCCTTTCCTTTTAAAGAATTTTCTTGGTTTTTATTTTTTATATTTTCTATAATATTTTTCTTTTAGATATTTCTTAAATTTTATTTTCAATTTGCTTTTCTTTTTCTTTCATTCATATTTTTCTGGTTTACATCCTCATTTATATCCTTTCATTATTTCTCCACATCTTAAAATTGTTTTATTAGTCTTATAATATTTCATATTTCTCCATGCATTCCTACATTTATCAGCTATATATTTTCTTAAAAATAATTCTCTTCTTTCCATAGTATCTACTTTATTTAATACATTTATTGGTCCCCTTTCAATATTGTGTCTGATCATAATTTCAGTAATTATCTATAAAATAAATCTAAATAGAATCTTTCTTCTTTTAAGTTTTCTAATCTTGCTTTATAATAATATTTTTTATATTCACATATAAAAGCATTCAAATATTCTAGTTCTAAACAGCATAATTCAATTTCATGTAATATTTTTATAGCATCTTTTTCTTTACTTATTTCATTTATATCTATTGTAATTCCTAAAAATTCATTTAGTAATATTTTTTGATATTTCTCTATTATCATAACATAATATTCTTTTCTATTTTCATAACTTTTATCTAGTTTTCTAAACTTTTTTTAAATTCATGGGATTTACTTTTCTAACAATTTTGTACATTTCCTAAGAATGTTGCTTTTATTAACATATTTGCAATTTGTGTATCTATATTTTTTCCTATTAATGCAACTAATGTTGTTTTACCCCATTCTTCTATAATTTTACTATTGTCCAAATTACAATCTAAATCTAACCATATTTTTGAATTTGATATTTGTTTATTTTCATATTGTGCTAATGGTGTTAGTGTAAATTCATTATTTTTTGATACACTAAAATTTGCTGAAAAAGGTATATTATTACAATATGTTTTATTTGGCTTTATAAAATTAGTTTCATAATATTCTATTATTTCATATGGTTCCAACATTCTTTCATCTCTTTATTCTTCTGATATTCTACTTAATTCTACATTTCTATTATTATAAGATGGATCTACCTTAGAGCTTCCTTGAGCACTTAAGTTCTCTTCCTGCCTCTCTCTCTTGTAATCCTGTTATCTTATGATCAATAAAAGTATTTATTTCAATTATTTCAACTTTTGCAAGTATTGAAGATTAACAGGTATGGCTGAGTAATTTCTTTTTTAGGGATTAAGGGGAAATTATTATCTTATCCTTAACAATGTTTTGAATTTCTGCAATGATCCTGTAAAGGGAATTATTAGTTATGTATTGCTATGACTACGCTTCCAATCGAAAATGAAGGAAGGCTGTGCTGTGCTGGTCTGAAGGAAGTGGTTTTATGAAAGGTCTATAGCCAGGCTTGAGAGACTACTGGCTTGTTAATCTCAATATGAAAGAGGACTAAGAACTTTTCATGTTCTGCTATGACCCAAATCAATATCGATCAAACCTTGTAGTAGCACATAGCCAACTGTTTCAATTATGGTGTATATATATATATATATATAATTCATTCACCCTATATTACATTCATTGAATCTAGACATAATTTAAATTCAACAAACTTGAACATTATAGCTCGAGTTAGGCTATTCTTGTGTGCAACCTTGTAGGCCCATATGAAATTGGCAGTAGGCTAATTATATTATTAACACACAAGTCACAAGTGGCCTCTAGCAAGACATTGCAACTACCTAATTCACATGGGAAATTGATGATCCAATATAACCTATCATGCAACTATATCACATCCCTTTTATCACGCGATATTTTTGCCAAGTATGAGACATGATATTGTCATTCTCCTTTACCTGACCGTTACTTTCTTAATCTCTAAGTAGACTGATAGTAGCAATGAAAAAACCCTTTTCATTGTAGTATAGCTATATATTTTCTCAATCTTACTCATCGAAGGGCCTAGTAATATCTCTCACTTAATGTGAGGGACAAATTTCATCTTGACCACTTATATTCCTCTGTATTTGACCCAATAAGGCAGATACTTCATATGCATGAATATCACTAAACCCAATCATAATCTTTATGCTCACCCGATCAAAGGTGACTTTTGACTAGGTCAAAATTCAATGGTCATCATGTAGGAATCCATGATGATCTCAAGTCAAAGGGCTTAGTGATATAGTTACACATGAGATAAACTTATGACTTGTACCATGCAGCTTTCTCATAGCGGGTCGGTCCAACACCTTGTACTCTTTTAAGTATCTATGACTTTAATTTGTATCTCTATAATTAATCAAAGTCATACTAGTCTTGTTTCATCATGATCCCTTAAAGATGACCAACCAGGGACATTTAGGACAATTACTATAGTTTGTTCAGGGATACAGTTATCATATTGAACATGCAATTGTTGTGATAACAAAAGAGATATTCATTAAATAACAATGTGCATAGTATAATAATCGACCCTAAGGCACAATTTTCAACAAATACTACTAGCCTCTGGTTTGAGAATTAGCCTATGTTAAATGTTCCTTTGATTGAATTAGTTTTAGGTAGGGAAGGACTTATGGACAAATTTGAGAAGGCATCTAATTATGTCAATAGTGAAGGAAATTGGAACCTATAAAAACTATATCAATGGCTCCAGCCAAGTACAGTCAACTACCTTACTCGTGCTCCCCCGCCTTGTGAGGAGAGAGGAGAGGATATACACTTTTAGAAACCTTCATCAGATGGATGCTTTACTGTTAAATCTGCCTATTCTTTTATTGATGTAGGTACTCAAAGAAATGCAGACAGCATATGGAAGATGATCTGGTGACTTCCAGTAATAGAGAAGACAAAGTCTTTCAAGTGGCTATTGGTACATAGAAGAATTCATACATATGAATTGAGAGTCAAGAGAGGACTAACGGTGAATAGCAGTTGCCCCTTTGATTGTAAGACTCTTGAAGACTCCATACACTTAATGCGAGACTGTAGAAATGCTTTTAACAGATGGAAGCAAGTAGTGAAGGAAAATTATTGGCATAAATTTACTACATACACAGGGGTAGAATGGATCAATTGGAACTTAAAGCATGAGATTGGTAAACAATTCACAAGGAAAGTAAACTGGTCCACCTTGTTTAGCTATTTATGCTGGGATATATGGGTAGATAAATGTAATCGTGTGTTTGAGGAGGAAGCTTCACGAAAAACATTCTTCTACGGTTTCTTCTTTCTTTAAAGCATGCTCTTATTTAGATATCCTTAGTATGACACCATTCCTCTCATACACTAAAAACTTCTTAAAAGAGCCACCTAGAGAGACAAATGATGCATGCAAACTTGAAGTGGATGGT